TACGAAACACATACGCATGAAGCCTGAAGGCCTGTTCTTGAGGTATATGTTTCGGAATGGATATCCGCAGCTATATAGTATTCACTTGGAAGAAACTCTATACCCTTGTTTAACATTTATTCATAAGAAACATACGTAAAACAAACTTCCTTGTTGGGGTCACTTTAACAGCCTGCAAGAAAGGTGTTATTTTGTATTTTTCTTAAAAGTATCAAACACTATCTGATTGATTGGGTATATAAAAGGGTGCTGTTTATGAATGTAATAGAGAAAAAAGGTATATGAAAAAACAAAAAAAAAAGACTAATTGCGCATGCTCTGTAATAACAAGGACAGAAAACTGGAAAGATTACTTGATTAATTAAGTTTGGTGATAAATTTAGTATTTCTACTTATAGCAGTGTATATGGTAACAATTTTGAAACTTAATTCCCGTTGGCGACTTAAAGTATGCGTTGTGCGAAGTTGTGTTTCAGTGTGATAGTCAACGCTATTAGAGCATGCTTTACCTCCCCTCTTTCCCCCGATAGGCGTTCTTCGCAAGGAAATTCATTCTCAAATATAGAAAAACGTTAACTGATTAAAACAATATGACACGATACGTGGACCTCACCAGTAGTGAACGGTAGTAAATAAGTTGATAATGTGAGGGTTGAGCCTCTTCTTGCTGCTTGAAACTTCGTAAAAATATTTTCAAATTTCGCAATAGGTGTTGATAGATTTCGACCGTAGTTTGTAGTTTGTGTAAAAAAAAGTGCTTAAAATGTCTCCTTATCAACACCTGGTAACACTCAAAAGACAATATGACGTTAATATAAACAACTTAATTTTTAGCAGGTTGTTTAACTATTGACATACATAGACTTCAAGGACAGTGGATTATCATGAATGAAATATATAAACGTTAAATATGACAAAGATTTTATCCACTTGTGACTCAAAATTCTTATGATTTAAGGTGAATTCCTCGCTCTTCTGTGTCATGCGAAAACATAATAAGTCCATAAACCATTCTGCAGGCTTCATCAGGCTCTAAAACGCCACTTATGATGAGCAAGCAAATCTGCATCTTGGCTTGAAGATGAGGCCAAGCTGTAAGATTACATCTCTCTGGGGACAATGCTAATGGGAAGGTTCAAAATGCACACAACCGTTAACGGTACACGTGATGATCTGGTTAATGCCCAACTCGGCTTGAAGATAAGGTTACGTCGTAATATTACATATGTCTGGGTACAACGCTAATGGGATGGTTCAAGATGCATACAAAGATTGACGGCATAAGTTTGCATGTAAAACGGTTTTTTGGAAACTTGATCACGGAAGCGTTCTTGTCACTCTTATACCCTTATTGTGTCGTCACCTCCAACGCCTTGGTCAAACAAGACTGTGTGAATTGTATAATGTTTTAATAATTTGTATGATTAAGAAGACTGTATGATGAACCTATCTTTCCGTCTGTCCGTTCGTTTATTTATCTATCTACTTGCCTCCCTCTCTCTCTGTCTGAATATCTGTCTGTTCATCTATTCGTAATAAAGTTAACGTATTCTCCCTGTTAACAAGATAGCATTCTAATATTGCTTATCAAAATTATCGAATATCATATTCATCTCTTTCTTCGTGCAACATCGTAAGCAACAAAAGAAAATGTTCTGGGAAGGAAATAGAGCACGTGAAGAAAGGTCACGTCCTGTGAGTGGGTGTAACATGTGGCGTCAGAAGGAGAACTGGGTCGGGTGACTGGAATGGAAGAAAAATATTCTAAACAACATGTGGAAGTTTTTATAAACTATTAGCCTGAACATTCATTATTCACTGTTAGTAGGCTATCATAAGTTTGTGATTTTTCATATCTGTGCATACTTTACAGATGCCATAACTTACGTGATCATAGTAATGATTGCATGTAAGTCAATGTTAGTATTTTAGCACCACTAAGAATAATGTAATTTGCTATAAATAAGCAGTAAAAAAACTAAGGTTATGTAGGACATATAAATTAGTAAGATGATAATGATTTTCCAGCTTCCCGAGCCCTACAAATTACAACCCTTGCGACACCAAGCGGTAAAGAGTAATTGGTTCGCATTATGATATGACACTCTGCATCCAAGTTCTAAAGCGTTTCGTCCACTAGTTTTCGTACAGCGAATCACACATACGTAGACCTCTCTACATCTGCTTGCGATGACGTACGTACACGTGCATCTGCATGTAGGAAGATTTCCTTGTAATAAGTTAGAAAATTTCTATCAAAAACAACAAATCAACGTCACAATCAACTAAAGTGATAAGTCAAATGATCCACTAAACTCACAGGAGTCCCATATGTATTAGTGTTGTTTGGCTTTCACAATTCTTTAAATAAATTGTAAGTGTTTTTACTTCTATGTTTTAAATGTATACCCACTAGAATTATATATAGAGAGAAAAGGTTTGTAAATTATGAAGACCAAACTTCTAAATACATTACAACTGTAAACATCTTTTAAAATGATCAATTATCTTTAAATGTAGTAACTTTATAAAGTTTCAAGCTATGTAACTTAAGCAGAAGACATATTTAAGGGAATATCGATAATCAATAATCATTTTACTTTTAACATGTCTCACAATCTGAGAAATATTTTAAGCTGGAAACCTTTAAAAAATCATGTTTACATGACTAATGATAAGCGAGATATAAGTAATTATATAACAGTACATGTGTTTATGTATATTTCTAGAAATGAACCTGGAACTGAATGAGTGAGATTATTTATAAATGTTGTTACGAAAGAGTTAAGGGCAACAGATCAACGGAGAGCTTATGGGTTCAAATAAGCCTTAATTACACCTAAAGTGCCCACCAGTGGCTCAGCAGCGAGCCTGAAGGCTCTCAGGGTTAAAAATCGAATTTTGATACTCGTGGTGGGCACAGCAAAGATAACCCATTTTGTAGCTTTTTGCTTAACAACAAACAAATAAATGCACTTAGGGTATTAATCTGAAAAACCTATTTCTTTCCTGATTGCACCTATAATGTTCTTCTTATGGTTGGTGATGTATTGCCAAACACCTAAAATGGTTTTTTCGAGGTGATGAAAGGGTGCTGCTGAACACCTATAATAGTTTTCCTGGGATGGTGGAGGCTGTGCTACCAAACACCTATAATTGTTTTCCTGAGGTGGTACAAACACGCTAACAAACATCTATAGTAGTTTTCCTGGGGTGGTAGAAGTGCGCTATGAAACACCTATAACGGTTTTCCTGGGATGGAGGATGTGCTACCAAACACCTATAATATTTTTTTTTTTGAGATGGTGGAAGTGCGCTGCCAAAGATCTGTAATGGTTTTTTTTAATTAAGGGTGGTAGAATTGCGTCAACAAAGACCTACAGAATCTTTGATTCTTCACCAGAGTAACAAATCTGATAGCATTAATCCCGGATAAAGCATTAATTCTCTTTATTAACAACGTGGATCTGTAACTGATTTAAATATCTGTTTCTCGATATATCCGGTGGAACACAGATTCCTTGTAGCGGTTTAAAATGTGATGCATTTACATCGACTTAATTTCACCTTTGAAAAATTCTCTACATCTGACTCGGATATTTCTTACCATTTTTTGAACACAAAAATCTAACTTAAATATGGTTTCTTATTGCCACAGAAAGTAAGTTTCTATTTTTGATAGCTTCTGCATAGACGTATATATTAATAAAGTTCTTCTGAATTGAGTTTCTAATTTATTTTACTTTCGAATACTAAATTGAAATTAAAATTATAGGTTTAATCCGTTATGCTTTCTATGACAAAAAACAATAAAAACAATGTTTTTTTAAGTTTTAAGTAAATTAACGGGTGACATTAATTGCGAAACAAAATATTAAAATGTTTTTGTTTTTTCTTTTAACTTGCATTTTTTTCTTCACGAAATGACCATACATCACTGATAAAAATGCTACGTGCATACCAGCATGCGAACGTGCACGTGGGGGTGTTGGAATCACGTGCACCTAGTAAGTGACAGATTACCACCCCTAGTTAAGAATACTGACAATCTATAAAGTCATACACTGGATCATTTCTTGAAATAAACACCCGACTGGCGAAGAGAAAGCGAAGCCATTTTACATTTATAATGTAAAGGTCAAATTCTTTCGGCCTCTGTATTTTAATTACTTGTATACAGCGCTAAACTTTTCAATCAGAAACCAAAAACAAAAAAAAAAAGAGACATAGAAAGAAAAAACCTGCTTCTAGCTTTTCGATTACGTAGCTATGACGTCAATTCATGATGGTGAAAGGATAACCTCAACTAATCACTTCCATATTAGAAACATGTGATGAAAAGCAGCGGAATTTAAATGTAATGAAATCGTAATACACAAAACATGTGTGTAAAAAACATACCACCTTACATCCTAATTTGGTATTTGTTTCTCTACTTCTTCTAGTTTCTTAATCATAAATATAAAATTTGAGACTATTTAAAAAATTACTTATTGTTTATATCTATAGAATGCATGTTATATTATGACTCTGATTAATGTTCTGAATTTCGCCCATAAATATTCATGTTAATAAAATGTGTTTCAGGAAAATCCTTGCAATAATATCACCAATGCTAAAAGTCTTGATAAACAGCTTAGGAGATATTTCGTAAGCAATCATTCTTGCCAAAATTTATCATTTGTTAAAAGTGTCTGTAAAAACCTGTTTTATAAGTTAAAGAAACAACACAAGACTGAGAAAAGTATTGTTCATTTGGGGCATCATGGGAAATCTGTTAAGATTCTTCTATGTGGCTTCAAGCGTTATTTTGGGGTCACTTACATTTCCAAGGGTAAGTGTCATGACATTGTGCTGATTAATGGAAGTCCTTTAAAAATTTCTAAGTATCTAATCTCTTCTCAAGTTTTTTTGTCTGTAAATAGTGAAGTGTTCGTAAATATAAAAAAATAACTTCTATAAACATGCACGTCAAATGTTTCTTTCTGTTTATTTTATAGCTCTAATATGGATAGACAATCTGTATTGTTCTGGGAATGAAGAGCGTTTACAAGATTGTGCCTTCGACGGCTGGGGTATTCACGATTGCCTTGAAATAGAGGCGGCTGGTGTGAAGTGTCTTGAGAATAACACGTCGCCATCTACATTACAAAGCCAGAACGACGAACCTATTTCAATTGAAAGTCTAAACGTTTGTATAGTACCACAAATTACAAGTTAATTTTGTAAAGTGAATAATTTTAATATTAAGATGCGTGTGATATTCCTCATAATGATATTTATAATAACTGAAATCACACAGTTCTTTACTGGCTCAATAATTTTGATCTTGGAGAAGCAACTATTTTAAGCTGAGAACAGCAGAGATGAACAAAATAGACTTTTGAATGCGAGAAATTTAATTAATACAATCAAAAATATTGTTGCATTCTGTTTGTTTTGTTGTTGTTGTTTTCAGCATTAAGGGATCGGTTAACCTAAGAGACACAATGAGAATAACAAAAAGAACAAAACATATTTTGTTTTTCGGTCAGATAGCAGGAAATTGGCTAAGATTGTTTTCTAACAACAATTAACATGTACTTCGCTTAAATGTTTTCTAACAACTATTATCACATATATATATATATATATATAATTGGCAGTGTTTTCTAATAACAATTATCATGTATGTAGCTAACAATGTTTTCTAGCAACAATTATCATGTATGTAGCTGACAATGTTTTTCTAGCAACAATTATCATGTATGTAGTTGACAATGTTTTCTAGCAACAATTATCATGTATGAAGCTAACAATGTTTTCTAGCAACAATTATCATGTATATAGTTGACAATATTTTCTAATAACAATTATCATGTATGAAGCTAACAATGTTTTCTAGCAACAATTATCATGTATATAGTTGACAATATTTTCTAATAACAATTATCATGTATGAAGCTAACAATGTTTTCTAGCAACAATTATCATGTATATAGTTGACAATATTTTCTAATAACAATTATCATGTATGAAGCTAACAATGTTTTCTAGCAACAATTATCATGTATATAGTTGACAATATTTTCTAATAACAATTATCATGTATGAAGCTAACAATGTTTTCTAGCAACAATT